GCATTCGTTGCGATAGACAGATGTGTGGCTGTCGGGGTATGTGGTTTAATATTATTGGCATGTGTTGCCTAATTGACATACTCGGTATATTTATTAATATTATTGGCATGTGTTGCCTAAATTGACATTCTCGGTACATTTATTAATATTGTTGGCATGTGTTGCCTAATTTATATGCTCAGTATATTCATCAGTACTTTGCGAGGTGTTATCACTGTGTAGTTCGTTATAGTCTGTGTTGTCAGTACCGTGCACCATGTATAATAGCTGATTTCCCGGGTAGGGAAAGGCGACACTTGACCACCTAGTGTGAGTCTAAGTGATCTCCGTCTATTCTGGTTGAGGTCATGTTATACATCGGATAGTTCCCGTAGGATGTATACAGATATAGTACTCATCCGATTCATAATGATTAATTTATTTGATTCTCTGATTTGGGTCATAGTAGAGAGGACTTGCTCGTGGGGTTGACCCACCATTGTTGTTATTTCAGGATACGGTCAGTATCCGTTTCAAGGCTGAGGTTAGCAGTGTGGGACCATCATCCGAACTCATCTACTCCTACGATCCAGTGCAGGGTAGAAGTTTTATGTAGTATTTCAGTTTCAGTTTTTATCTACTTTTGACGTTGAACTCTCAGGGTTATATTTAGGGATCCCTGACGTAGGATTTCCAAGTTGTAATGAAGTACTGTATCAAATAAAGGATGGATGGATGTTGTATTATTTAATGTTTCTTTCCTGTCTAAATTCTTTTATTTCCATCATTTTGTATTCCATGCTTGTATATTGCCAATTGTTTTTGATATCCCTCGTTTTTCGTGTATAAGCCTGATCAACTTATGCGTGGGAAATGTGGGGGTGTTACAACTTTTTGGCGTCAATGTACCATGTTTTCTCTAAACACTTATTCATGAGGCTAATGGAGCTATTTATGGATGTAATGTGCAACTTAATTAGCGGTGTGGGGTGTAATACCAATTTCAATTGTAAAAATAAGTCCCTTTTGCGAAAGTACCACTTTTTTTCAAAAGATACCATGTTTTTGAACTGAAGGTACTAGTTTTTCGCATCAAGATACCACGTTTTCTCTTAACACTTATTCATAGCGCTAATGGAGTTGTTTATGGATGTAATGTGCAACTTAATTAGAAATATGGGGTGTAATACCATTTTCAATTGCAAAAATAAGTCCCTTTTGCGGAGGTACCATTTTTTTTTTCCAAAGGTACCACGCTTTTGAACTGAATGTACCACTTTTTGAAATAAAGGTACCACGTTTTCTCTAAACACTTATTCATGGCGCTAATGGAGCTATTTATGGGTGTAATGTGCAACTTAATTAGCGCTGTGGGGTGTAATACCATTTTCAATTGCAAAAATAAGTCCCTTTTGCGAAGGTACCACTTTTTTCCCAAAGGGACCACGTTTTTGAACTGAAGGTACTTCTTTTTGGCGTCAAGGTACTACGTTTTCTCTAAACAATTATTCATGGCGCTAATAGAGTTATTTATGGATGTAATGTGTAACTTAATTAGCGGTGTGGGGTGTAATACCATGTTCAATTGCAAAAATAAGTCCCTTTTACGGAGGTACCCCTTTTTTTCCAAAGGTACCATGTTTTTGAACTGAAGGTACTAGTTTTTGGCGTCAAGGTACCACGTTTTCTCTTAACATTTATTCATGGCGCTAATGAAGTTGTTTATGGATGTAATGTGCAACTTAATTAGAAATGCGGGGTGTAATACCATTTTCAATTGCAAAAATAAGTCCCTTTTGCGGATGTACCATTTTTTTTCCAAAGGTACCACGTTTTTGAACTGAAGATACCACTTTTTGGAAAAAAGGTACCACGTTTTCTCTAAACACTTATTCATGGTGCTAATGGACCTATTTATGGGTGTAATGTGCAACTTAATTAGCGCTGTGGGGTGTAATACCATTTTCAATTGCAAAAATAAGTCCCTTTTGCGAAGGTACCACTTTTTTCCCAAAGGGACCACGTTTTTGAACTGAAGGTACTTCTTTTTGGCGTCAGGGTACCACATTTTCTCTAAACACTTATTCACGGTGCTAATGGATTTATTTATGGATGTAATGTGCAACCTAATTAGCGGTGTGGGGTATAATACCATTTTCAATAGCAAAAATAAATCCCTTTTGCGAAGGTAACACTTTTTTTCCAAAGGTACCACGTTTTTGAACTAAAGGTACCATTTTTTGGCGTCAAGGTACCATGTTTTCTCTAAACACTTATTCATAGCGCTAATGGAGCTATTTATGGTTGTAAAGTGCAACTTAATTAGCAGTGTGGGGTGTAATACCATTTTCAATCGTAAAAATAAGTCTCTTTTGCGAAGGTACCACTTTTTTTCCAAAGATACCATGTTTTTGAACAGAAGGTACTAGTTTTTGGCATCAAGGTACCACGTTTTCTCTTAACACTTATTCATGGCGCTAATGGAGTTGTTTATGGATGTAATGTGCAACTTAATTAGAAATGCGGGGTGTAATACCATTTTCAATTGCAAAAATAAGTCCCTTTTGTAAAGGTACCACTTTTTCCCCACAGGGACCACGTTTTTGAACTGAAGGTATTTCTTTTTGGCGTCAAGGTACTAGGTTTTCTCTAAACACTTATTCATGGCGCTAATAGAGCTGTTTATGGATGTAATGTGCAACTTAATTAGTGCTTTGGGGTGTTATAGCATTTTCAATTGCAAAAATAAGTCCCTTTTGTAAAGGTACCACTTTTTCCCTAAAAGGACAACATTTTTGAACTGAAGGTACTTCTTTTTGGCGTCAAGGTACCACGTTTTCTCTAAACACTTATTCGTGGCGCTAATGGAGCTGTTTATGAATGTAATATGCAACTTAATTAGCGATGTGGGGTGTAATACCATTTTCAATTGCAAAAATAAGTCCCTTTTGTAAAGGTACCACTTTTTTCCCAAAGGGACCACGTTTTTGAACTGAAGGTACTTCTTTTTGGCGTCAAGGTACCACATTTTCTATAAACACTTACTCATGGCGCTAATGGAGCTGTTTATGGATGTAATGTGCAACTTAATTAGCGGTGTGGGGTGAAATACCATGTTCAATTGCAAAAATAAGTCCCTTTTGCGGAGGTACCCCTTTTTTTCCAAAGATGGCACGTTTTTGAACTGACGGTACCACTTTTTGGAATAAAGGTACCATGTTTTCTCTAAACACTTATTCATAGCGCTAATAGAGCTGTTTATGGATGTAATGTGCAACTTAATTAGCGCTGTGGGGTGTAATACCATTTTCAATTGCAAAAATAAGTCCCTTTTGCAAAGGTACCACTTTTTTCCCAAAGGGACCACGTTTTTGAACTGAAGCTACTTCTTTTTGGCGTTAAGGTACCACGTTTTCTCTAAACACTTATTCATGGCGCTAATGGAGCTGTTTATGGATGTAATGTGCAACTTAATTAGCAATGTGGGGTGTAATACCATTTTCAATTGTAAAAATAAGTCCGTTTTGTAAAGGTACCACTTTTTTCCCAAAGGGACCACGTTTTTGAACTGAAGGTACTTCTTTTTGGCGTCAAGGTACCATGTTTTCTCTAAACACTTATTCATGGCGCTAATGGATTTATTTATGTATGTAATGTGCAACCTAATTAGCGGTGTGGGGTATAATACCATTTTCAATTGCAAAAATAAATTCCTTTTGCGAAGATACCACTTTTTTTCCAAAGGTACCACGTTTTTGAGCTGAAGGTACTAGTTTTTGGCGTCAAGGTACCACATTTTCTCTAAACACTTATTCATGGCGCCAATGGAGCTGTTTATGGATGTAATTTGCAACTTAATTAGCGATGTGGGGTGTAATACCATTTTCAATTGCAAAAATAGGTACCTTTTGTAAAGGTACCACTTTTTTCCCAATAGGACCACGTTTTTGAACTAAAGGTACTTCTTTTTGGCGTCAAGGTACCACGTTTTCTAAGGAAGATCCAAACCAATTTTTCATTCATTAAACTATCCATTTATCGACACCATGGAACCAAGGAAGATCCAAACCAATTTTTCATTCATTAAACTGCTTCAGTTTTAAACTCCATCAAATTTGAAATTAGTACATTAATATAATAGTGAAATAAAATTCATTGAGACCCTAATATAATAAGCCATATAATACTAATTCCTGAAAACCCAAAAGAGCAACTTCATTTGATTTCATGTAAGGTAGATGCCAGTATAATAAGCCATACAATAGTTGCAAAAATATACCAACCTAATCCATAATCAAAAGTTGCAAAGCTACTATTCTTTAAAACTTTAAAAATAGCTAACACCAACAGAGTGCAAAATACATGCAAAAAAAAATGACACTATTCAACATTACAAATGTCCCATATCCCACATCATTTCAGGTACCACTTTTTAGAAAATTCAGCAATCCTCCTATCCCACTTCCTCTAGCTTCCAATTGGGCAAATACTGGTATGTATTTCCTTGTTATGTGGTAATCCAATTTGTTGCCCTTATCCTTTGAAGACTAATCAGAGTCCTCTTGTTTGTGTATTTGATAGACATGCATTTTTTCTGTCTCTGTGTAGTTGGAACAAAATAACCACTTTGTCTCTGTGACTGTTACATGCAATAAAAATTAAATTATTAAGGCATTGTATAATATTAATAAGGAACAAAAGCAATATAAAAACAGACAATTCGAAACTTTGAATAATAATAATAATTTTAAAAAGAATCATCAAAATTAAAAAAGAATTTATAATTTGCCCAAAACCCTACAAGTGACCTCATTATCCAACCAACTTAGCAGTACTGCTATTTAAAACATGTTTGAACAATTACATAATAATTTTGAGTTTACTTAAGAGGTTGAATATTTCCATTGGAGCTCTTGACAAATATATCACATGGAAAAGTGCAAATGAACATTGAGCTATAGTACTAACAACTAATTTATACTAATAAATTGTTGTATAGCAAAAAATTATATTAAAAGTCGAGGAAATTACATCTTATACGCCTTGATGGATTAAGATGGAGATAGTAAGGTTCCTTGAGGTAAATGGTACCTTGTTGGCTAATGGAGGTGATGTTAGAATCATAAAAATAAAAAAAAAAAAAAAAAATTACTAACCACAAGTAAGCTGATGGAAGCTTACTTGAAATCAACATGCTTGACCAAATGGATAAAGTGCTTTGTTCTTTACAAAATTCTTCATTTTGTTATTGTCATCTGAAAGCAAATTTGAAGCAATAATTGCACGTAATCTATCAACATCCACCTGCACATTAAACCAGGTAAAGACAAATCATGAATATAGGATAGGGAAATGGACTTCATGCGTGAATACATATAAGTGTAAATAGATAGGAATCTAGTGTTGCAGAAACTATATATTTGATAAAGAAAACTTTTTCAACACTGTTGAATTTGGCATATGCACAAAATCTTGGTAATACTAAACTTTTATATGTGAAATATTACATAAACAGGTAGCTTCATCCTTGGGAAATATGTTAGCAATTTGGTCAGATCAGCACAGAGACAGAACATAAACAAAACCACAACAAATCTAATAATACGAAAGATCTCCTTGTCCCAAAATAGTTGTCCCTTTTTACTGATTCCAAACACTCAATGGCACGCACCTTTTTTCTGACATTCCAAAAGTAATCTTAAAGTCACTATTTATTTTGAAATTTTTTAATCATTCATTTCAATATGTCGTAGTTTCAGTATCTTTTGTGTTCGGTTCATTTTTAATGAGAACCACTAAGTACAGTGAAGTGACCATATAACCTACAATATGTTCATTTAAAATGACAGGAGTCCAGTATTTGCCTATCTAATTGGTTAGGTGATGTAGGAAAAACAAGGTTGACTGATGATTTAAGCTACTGATCTCAATCAAATTCTTTGACAATGAAAAACTGTCTAAAAATATTTAAGAGTATGCTATTCATTTAAACCTCATCTAGCAAAGCTGGTTTCTACTCGATCGGACCCATTATACAGTGGATGTCAAACATTTTCTATATCATTCGTTACATGGTTCATTTTATTGCTTACTTCATGTTAGATCCGTACTCACTAGAGCTGGATGCTTTCTCTTTCCTAAAAATGGCACACATTAAGGGTATACTGCATTAGGGGGTTCTAAGGTTGAAGATTTTGTTGGCTAAAGGGGGTGCTTACAGCTCTCTTTGTTTCAACACGTGCCGTAGTCCCCTGGTCTTCCCGTTATTAAGACTATGACATTGCAGCCTAGCGGGGAGAGATCGGAAAGTGAAGTACTTGCACACAAACATGGGTTCAAAAGATGCAAAAAGAAAAAAGAAAGGTATAAGCTGGGAAACGTGTAAAAACAGAATGGGGAGTGCAGTGAAGAGGAAGGAAAACGTTATAGTGGATGCATTTTGTGGTTGCATTAATTTTTAAAATTATGTTTGCATGTATTAGAATTAAAGACCCTCCAGTTTCAACCCTTGAACAAAAGTGTGTAGGAATGTGGATCAGTTTTACAAATATATTTTTTGAAACCTTTAAAGGCAAGACCCATTTCTTCTTTTGAAGACTAATCACCAGTGATTGCTCAGATTAACAATGCACCAATGGTTTTGAAGAAAACAGAGAATTAAATGATTAACGAAGAGTATCGAGGAGATTGTGTGATTTAGTAATTCGGTATTTTCTTCATTCTGGAAAAAAAATAAATAAGACCCATGTAAAAAATAGAATTGGGCTTCACCTTCTCTTTTGGGTGACTGAGTGAACCATCCCATTTCTCCATGAAGTCCAACATGAAAGCACCACAACTATCACTGAATAAAAGATTGTTTAGGTATCTGTCAATTATAATTGTGAACATAATCAGTACACCAAACTAGGAACATTAAGTGATAAAATTACCTATCGGGCTGTTGAGGTACGTTGGGCACATTGTATATGAAGTTTTGTAGATCTCTTCCGGTGAATATCTCAACCAACATTACCTACAAATGCACAATATATAAATGATTAGAGTAAAAAATTCAGTACCACGTTCTTCAACTTGTATACTTTACCGTCCTAATTTAACAGTAAATGAATACATAATCAAAAAAATGAGCTCATATGTAATAAGCGTTTACCAAATCTTTTGACATCTTGTCTGGAGTACGCTTATCATGCGAACATTGCTTCATTTAATCCAACACATCCATATGACTATCGCAAATGTTAAAGACATACAAGCACCAATGTTTCTCAATTACAAGTGTTGGAAAGAAAAGCTGCATATTTAACAATGTAAAATTTTAATTACTTTTAGAATCATATTTTTTTGATAAAAGGATAATAATTATTTATGTTTCCAAGCGATAAATATTACCATATTGAATTGGCAAACTTTGTTATCATCGACATTCCTTATCCTTTTATACTAGTTCCAAACTGCTTGTATTTTACCCTTTCTATCAACCACTTTTGAAGGTATCTTGGAAAGTTCAATCTGAAAATGCACACAATTGATAACCTAATATGTGTCAAACAAACACTCATTATAGATAGAAGAATTTGTTACCCCAATCGAAGGCGGAAAGAAAAATTTGGTTCCTCTACGCTTTTGTTTCAGCTGGAGCATTTGGCAATAGACTTCAACCACCTACAATGATCACATTTAAACCATTAATGCATGCGTGTGATTGGTTTGAAAAATCAATGAACTTTAAGTGAACATACCATATTTGATATCCAATGATTGTAAGAGATTGTTCTCATCTCTTTTCTTATGAGGAAAATATCATTTATGTTCACCAGCATTTCACTATAATTAAACAATAACATATTAAGTGCTTGAGCATAGAAAGTAAGTAAATATAGAGCAAATAAAAAATTATTTATATAATTTCTCACTCATCATTTCTGCTCTCATCCATGGCATATGAGATGACTGCCTTTGCTTCTGGACGAAGGACACGCAATCGGTTGACCTTTATTTCAACCCAAGGTGATCCCTTATGGTGCCCAGGCTTTATAACACATAATAAGGGGATCACTGCTTCCTGCACATCACCCTCCTCTTCCATTGCTGTGGAGGTTCCCACTTCCTCCTCCATTGGTGCGGGGATTTCTCTTTCCTCTTCCATGGGATCGTGTTTTGTAAAAGATTGCCAGGGTGAGTTTGCTTGTCTTATGGAGGTTTCGAATTCCTCCTCCACTGGTATATGGGATTCATCTTCCTCCTCCATCGGATGGTGTTGTGCAAACAATTGCGAAGATGGGTTAGGTTATCGTGTGGATGAACTGGGTTCTGAGGATCTCGACCCCCTGCCTTGGCCTACATTGTGCCGTTGCTTCCATTTCTTAACAACTATAATAATTTCATATGCCAACTCCTAACAATTTTAAATAAGTTTAGTAAATATATATATCAATTAATATATAAATGTAACCATAGAGTTCCAAGTAATTATGAATATGCAAATATAACTGTATATTTAGTACCAATTATAAAAAGCCATAATTGACGTGATTACCTTATCGGCATCTTCAGATGTATCAATTGTAAACTTTACCTCACCGAAGCCGAAACCATTATATTTACGCTTCTCCAAATTCAACCTCTCGCCTATTAATTTGTTGGTCCATCCACGTAGGCATGACATCTCAAGCTTTAGTTTTGGTCCATTGACATCCACACGGTGTAGGTAGAAAAGCTACAACATATAAGCCATTATGATAATGACATTATAGCTATTTAAAATAAAATGATAGACACATTACAAATATTATATCTTAGAACATACCATGAGAAAGAACAAGCATCCATGTATGTATGTATAACCTTCTCTTCCTTCCTTTCCTTTATAGGGCGCAATTCCTTTTTTCAACCAATCTAAAACAAAGTTCCCCCAATTGTACGATTTAATAGCATCCACATTGTCAACCGCTGCCAATAACCTTTTGCTTGTCTCATTTTTCGATATGGTTGCTAGAAGTGATCCGCAAGCGAAAAGGACAAAAGCCCTCTTGAAGTCATCCCCAACAGGAAGAACATCTAATTGATGCACTAAGTTTGGCACTTCTATTGCACCGTCCTTTTAAAAAAATGCCATTTTCTAACCAATGCACATTTTGTACAATATAATTTGGCACATCTTCTCCTCTTCCTGAGGGTAGGCCAAGTACCTCTTCAACGTCACTTGGCGTAACATGGATCCGAGCGCCAGATTCAAGGGTGAGATAAGATGTTCTAGGGTCAAAGTGTTCTACCAACCATAAGCACAGGTTGCGCTTCAAAATGGTACACTCGATGTCTAAAAGGGACCCAAACCCAATCTCTTGTACGGCAACCTTTTTGTCTTTCCTTGAATTTATTTAGAGAACACCGGGTATTCAACATCTACAAATAAATTACCAACACAGGCACATTAGATACAAAAAGGAAGGATAGAGCACATATATGGACATAATTCAAGTAAATAGAACAAGGTTACATTGCCTTTTATATTGCTAGTGATGAAACAAGCTCAAATATCACGAGCGTTGGGTGACTCCTTCTGGTGAATTCAACATTAACAAAAAAGGAGTCAAACAGAGAGTCTTTAAAATCAATTAAGTTAATCCATCACATAACAGTCCAACTTAAATTTACCAATTTGCACTTCTACACATTACATGTTGAAAAGATTCAATCTCAAATCTGCTAGCTTACAAAGGCACTTGGGAGTACTCATATATTCCTAATTCATTAATTCAATACACATTCTTCGGAATTAATCCAACTAAGCACGTTCATGATAGGTAAAACACACTAAAAGAAGCATATATAAAGCATCACTTAACCCAATCGAACAGATAAAAGGAAAAAAAAAAAAAACACTTACAGTTTTTATTTTTATTTCTTTTATTGAAATTGTTCTAAAGTTCTTTTCCTTGGATGTTAATGGTCGTATGGTTTACCTAATAAGGGAAGGAGGAAGGATCCGATGTCCTCATACCATTTGTTATAGGAATGAAGGTTCTACCTCGTATTTTGAATTAGAGAATAACTCTAGGGGGTTTCGATTACCATTGGAAATGCTCAGCTCAGAGGATAAGTTATGGACCTTTTTGTTGATGATCTTATGTTAATCACAGCTGGGATGTTGAATCTGTTAAAATATTGACAGAATTAATAGCTCAATTTAGTTTTAACTTTTATTTCTAGTTTGATTCCAAATAATGCAAAGAGGTGTCATATTCTGATCTGGTATAAAGACTGCTACTCAAAACCTAATTCTCAGAAAGCTTAATTTCTCTATTAGGACCCTCCCAATTAGATATTTGGGAGTTTCATTATTGTCTAATAGACTGAATAAGCAGCACTGTGATCCTTTAATTGAGGAGTTTTGGACTACCAACTACTCATTTTGTGCTGGAAGGTTACAACTTATAAAGTCTATGCCATTCTCAGTGCAAGTTTATGTGGCTTCCACCTTTGAATCTAGGACATTCAAAATTCAAACACACAATCAATTACCAATTAAGCGCCCAAATTGGCCCACAAATATTAATAACATCAGTTTCTCGAGTCAAATAAATAAGTTAAGAATTATCCTTTTTCAAATAAAGTTTTATAACAACACCATGATAATGATGATTTTTATTTTTGGGAAGCACTGGAAGTGTTTTTGTTGCTTCTACAACTAAATAACTACACAAATCTTTCAACCTTCAAACACAAAAACACACACACAAAAGAAAATAAGAAAATAAAAATTTTGTTGTTTATATATTAATAAATTTTGTTACTTTATATTGTACTTTGTTTCATATACAATTGGGTGCCTGTCTTAATTGACAGATTTATGCTTCATGCGGTTAACATCCAATTTATTATTAGCATGAAAAAAACTGGAATAAAAAATATATATATATTTAAATAATTGAAGATATGACTTACCAGTATGAAGTGATGAAAGCACTCTAAAATATGGTAAGACCGTAAGGTGCTGTAATTGTAAAAATTATAATCCACAATAAGGGCCTTCAGCTTGTTCAAGACTAAAGTGCAACCCAAATTTACCAATTAGTCTTTCAAATCCTGCAAAGGGAGATCCTGTTTCAGTCATTATCTTCACAAATATTTATAACTAAAATTCATTAAAAAAAAAAAAAAAAGTATATAAAAAAGATCATAAAAATTTTCACCAAATAGGATTTAGTTTGCAAAACAAGAATTACAGTTACAAATCTCAGAACAAGATAACCATAAACACGAGAAGCTAGAATGAACACGAACAGTCATCTTAAGACATATACACCAACTTATTAACTATTAATAGAAAATCGAACATGACACAGATATTCAAATTTATAAGTCCAGTCTTCATTTAAGCTGAGTCTTATGCAGTAGTTATGCTACAAAATAGGAACTACATGCTTTAGCTTTTATGTTACTATAATTATAAATTAAGGAAGGCTATTCTAAGTGTAAAGAAATAAGAAAGTGTGCATCAGAAACAAAGAAATAAAGAAAGAATTAATGAAAGAAAATAGAGTTAGCATGCTTATGAATGCAAGGCTCTCTTCAAACTGGCAACTGTATGCTAAACTAAAAACTACTTCAACCCTTGTTTTCTTTGGATATACTCTTGTTGAAACTCAGAATTTGTAATTTGGTGGTTTGACAAATCTCACACATACATGTTACTTTCACAAAAATAAGTGTACATGAGTCTAGTTAACTGATGGGAGATATTCTGATGACGTTTTCTTGAGTCTCCGTTCAAGTTTCAAGCTTAAATAATTTATCCTATCATGAATTTATAAATAAGGTTACATCAAATCCAACTTCTAAATATTAATTTTTTTGTCTTTCTTAAAGGGCAATAAGAAAATTGAAGACCCAATTAGGGTCATCTCTCCTTTCTGCATTTCGATCAGCAAAAGGGGAAAAGGTTTTGGAAGTGGAAGGGACAATCACCAGCCAGCCGGTTCTTCAAGACGTGGGAATTTCT